GGGGGTCAAACCCTCCCAAACACCTCCCAAACCACAATCAATTTCCAGTGATGAAGCCATTCGCCTTTGCTTTCGCCGTGAGTGAAACGTGTGTGATTTCATGAACAAAAAAAATTGGCTGTGATTTCACGCACGCTTGGGACAGCCACAGGACCCCAACAACAAAAACGAAAGGAAAACCTACCAATGGGAGAGCAAAATAAAACATCCTTTTCCCAGGCTTAATTCGCAAAAACAGGCTACCGCTGATTTCCTGCCAAATCCACGATGCAGGACAGTCACACACCTTAAACACTAATCCACATACATCGGTAGTGGGATCTCCCTCCTGGAGCAACTGCTGTGAGCACACTTCTTTCTTGGCTTTCCCCGACGTCCTTCCCGTCAACTCTGCAGTTTCTTTTTTTCTTCTTTTTTTTCCCTCCGATCGGGCCCACAAGGCCCAAATGTTTTGTTTCTGCCAACCCTCGCGCGGGGGGGCATCGACATCATGACAACACGGTACATCTGCATGCGAGCTTCCTGCCGGCCTGTTCGCAGTCTTCAACGGAAATCTCAATATTCTCAATTTCTGCAAAAAAAAAATAGCAAGGCACAAAGCTTCAAAAACACCCCCCCCAAAAAAAACCATAGTATTGAAGCTTCGCGCCAACGCAAAGTGGCGAACTAACTGGCCAACAAATGAATTTAGAAAAGTTCTACTGGCCCATGGGCAGCTGCCTCCACGAAAACAAAGACAATAGCAGTCGATACGGTACTGGATCAACGACTGATGGATGTCACAGACGGCCGCACGTGATCGAAAACGGAGGAGCACAAGCGTAAATCGGACGTAGTGGGACGAGGCCCCGGAACCCCCGAAGTTTGACGTTGGGACTACAGCTTGGAAAGGTAGTGAGAATGACTCCTCAAAAAAAAAAAAAAAAAAAAAAAAGGTTGGAGTTCGTCCATTATGTGATAATAGTAAAATAGCCAGGTTCCTTTTTTTTTTTTTTTTTTAACCACCACTACCTTTCTCATATGTGGGGCCGCGGGCCTGAAATTCAAATTCGGCCGCCACGCGTCGTCGATGAAAAATATCGATGGCGGCGTGGCAGCTATTTTTCAGGAAAAGGCTACTAGATGCCCGCGGCCGACATATGGGAAAGGTAGTGGTGATTTAAACAAAAAAGGTTGACAATGTCCATGTATTAGGGCCCACTGCCCAAGGCAAAATACAAAGTGAGAAGAGTGCCAAATTCAGGGGCCACAAGGTCTCCTATCCTACTTCATGAGGTGGAGCCCTACCAAAGAAGGTCTTCCCCCGAACACAACGCACCCTCATTTCGATGCATCACGTCCGGGGGAAGAAGGTTCCCGTCCGGGGGAAGAAGGTTCCCCCGAATACAACGTACGGTCATTATAGCTGTATTTGAGGCATCTTTCAGTCTAGATACAGCTATAATGACCGTACGTTGTATTCGGGGGAAGAAGGTATCTCAGTGGGTACACGTACAAACTGTTTTTGGTGAGAACGGATGGGCTGCTTGCAGCACCTCAGGGGGACTCCTGTGCGACTGGGTACTGTAAAAGGTCTACCGGTGCGGGCTGCTAGCATACCTGTGCTCAACGAGGGTGGTGATTCATTTTATGAATGACCTTTCTTTTTTTTTTTTCTTTTTTTTTTCAAACCACTACTACGGTTCCCGCTGTTGGGAAAAGTGGGAAAAAGGCTACTCTGCATTCTTTAGGGGCTGGGCCCGATGGCGGCTGCCATCGATAAATCTCATCGGCGGCCACTGTCTCGTGTTTCGGAACCACGGGCGGCCAACATGAGGGAAAGGTAGTGGTGGTTTAATCATAAAAAAAAGGATTGAGCTTTCTTGAAATGAACCAAGCTCTCATCAAGTTCCACCTGGCATACATCAGTGTGAACATTCACACGAGACTTCACAGGCGAGAAGCCAAAGCTGAGATACAATCAACAAACGAGGAAGTCGTCTCCAAAATTATCATTATTACAAAGAAAAGAAATGTTTGCGTCTCCAGCGGCTCTGCAACACACACACACACACACACACACACACACACACACACACACACACACACACACACAGAACTGATCTCAACCAGCTGACGGCTATGGCTTCTCTCTCACACTCACTCTTCTCTCTGGCTTGGTTCGCTCTACCTCACTCTCTGTCTCTACCCTAGATCGTAACCCTGGATACACCCACTTAGGTAAGCTTCACACTCGGTGGCTATGGCCGCACTCATTCGTACCTCCCTTCCACCGTAGCTATGGAGTAACTCTCAAGCGCCCCCTTCCTCTTTCAGGCGCAAAGTTTCCCAAGTTGCCTTAACGCACAAGCAGCAGCAGCACTTCTGCATCTTGCAATTGCAATTAAACAAGTGATGAGCGGCTGCACTGTAGCAGCTAGATATAGGACTTGACTTGGCTTAGCCTGCTTCAGACCGGTACTGGTCGGCCGTGGCCTGTCCGCTGCAAATATTTTGTCGGTCCAGTAGCTTTCGGGCTTTCCTGAGGCATGCTGCAAAATTGGACTTGGGACTGAACTGAACTGGACTGGACTTTTCTTGTCGGGTATCGGACTGACTTTTACCGACCTGTGATGTTTCGGTACCGATACCTATCAACCTACAACGCTTTAACCTATGGACCCTATGGCCTATCCTACCGGGACATTCTGGGACTGGGACACTTGGGACCCTGGGACCGGGACTGGGGTGTCTGAAGCGTGAATCCTTTCGATCTATGGGAGTACTTTGATTTGATTCATCTTATGACTGAGGTTTCTATGGAACATGTGTAGTCAGTCGCATGTTAGGCTTGGACTCCACTACGGTGCGCACCACCTCCGCGCGACAATTTCCGTGACTCGACATTCTTCTACAGGGAACAGCCCAATTGTTTACCCAGTACATGGCAGACATTTTCACTCAGTTCTGCACAGCCGTTTACGAGTGCAATGGCCATCCTGAGGGAGTAAAGGTGGGCCCATCTACTCCCGTTTGGCCATCCCGTGCTGCAAGGAGACCTAGGGATTGGATGGGGGCCCAGACTGGCGGAGCTCTACTTCCTGAATAGGGAAAGTTTTATCCCTATCGGGTAACCTGGAGCGACAAACCTGCCTGAAACTTTTGCGGCTGTGGGGCCCCATTTTCTTTCTCCCGCCGCTGGGGGCTAAGATTTCGGTCAGCGGAGATTTTCCAGGCTCGCGGCATCCACCATGCAGTGGGGTCCGAGCCTTGGTTTCGGTCTCTCACAGGTCGTACATCCGGTAGACCACTGGCATCCCTTTTTTTATTTATTTATTGAGAAACAGAGCGAAGTGGGTTAGTGGTCTGTGGGTTAGAGGGAAAAGGGAGAGGAGAGGTGGACAAACATGATCGCCGGATGTTCAAGGGTTTCTGTACCGGCACTGCGTGCTGCTAATGCGGAATTCCTGAGGATGACATTGGTCGGCGCTGAGTTTGGAAGATACATCATTAGCCGCCTAGCACCAAGAACACAGCCTCCGGCTGAGACCATCCACGCCAGATTTGGATGTGTGGGAGTCCCGTCGGCGACGGATATTCCGGCAGAGGGATAGCCGCCGTATTCCCGCGATACACCAATTACGAGTCCGTCCCCGATGGTGGACCCGACCTATCTAATTGCCAGTGGAGGCCCTCACTCTTCGAATCATTTGCATATCTGTCCTTGGAACTTCGACACTGGAGATCTCAGTTCCGACCTGGGACTCCACCCCACTTTCCAAAAATCCTTGGCACACCCCTTTTCTTCGCGCACTTCTGGGCCCACCCCCACTCCAGACAGGAAGTCGCGTTGGGCGTGAGGTTGGTATCGGAGCAAGTCATTGGGTCTCGCTCCATTACTCACCACATGCACAAAAGACAAAAAATATGTAGTGGAATATTCATTCTGATTTTGCACATTTGGTGAGTAGTGGAGAGAGGGCCATTGAAATGACTGTGGATGCTATCTATGAATTGCCTTCTTCTACTGGGCCCATAAAGCATTGCACAAAGTACAGAAATGGAAGAATTCAAAATGGTTAGCGAAGAGCGAAGCTCAGCGTATAAGCGGCGCCTTGTGATCGTGAATTCATAGTCAGAATTTTTCGAACTGAAAACACCAGTACTTGGCCCATACGTCGTCCACGGGCCAGGCCACAACTTTTGGAGTGGGTGGCCGTTAATAAATCTCATCAATGGCCTTCGTCACGTTTATGGCATCAGAAAGCCACGGTGACGGGCCTGCGACCGATGTATGGGCCAATTACTGGTGGCATTTTTCATGTTTTGAAAGCAACACAAGACTTGGCTCCAACCCAAGTAGCATAGGACACGGGAAATCCTGTGTGAATTTGCGAGGACACCTCGTAAGGCTGAATATTCCTGGGTAACCGATAGCAAAAAAGTATCGTGAGGGAAAGGTGAAAAGAACCCCCATAGGGGAGTGAAAGAGAACAAAAAAAAAACTGTAGACCTTCAAGCAGTGGATCATGGTCTGGCACCCATTGAAATGGGTTCTCAGCACCATCAGGGGGCACCATACATGTGCTCTAAGGAGTGTTTTTTAGGGGCTTGCTCCGCTACTCAGCACATGCACAAAAGACAAAAAATATGGCGGTGTATCTTTCCAGGTTCTAGCGGAAGATGCATTCTTATTTTGCACGTTTGGTGAGCGATGGATAGACGCTCTATGATTGAGGTTTCTATGGATTCAAACTCGTGCACTTGTCATGCTGATGGATTTGCTCTCATGATTAGTTTCTGCTTCCATCATGAATGTGTCTGCAATTGTTTGCTTAGTTAAAAAATAATAATAATAATAAGAATAAGAATAAGAATATTGCGGTTGTGTGCAAGTTGTCGGCCAGAATCATTCTGACAAATAACCCCCTTAACCCCGTTGTTGGTGTGAACACATCTTTTGGCGTTTTTCTTTCGTTCTTTTCTTCCCTTTTCTCCGGATCTCGTTGTCATCGGTGCAGGGTCCTATGGCCCACGACTACAAGATCTCTCTGCTGCTAGGAACATGGAATGTTGGGAACGAACTACCAGTACGTCTCTGCTACTCTCCCTTGCTATGTGTGCTGTGTGGACTGTAATACACAAACTGGCCATATGCTTACTTTCCTAGATTTCCTCTCTCATCCTCCTCTCCCTTCCTCCCTACTTTCTTACTCTTTTCTTTGCTCCTCCATCTTTTCCCTCTCTCCCTCCTTCCTCCCTCCCCCTTTGCAACCCCCTTCTCCCTCCCTCTCCCTCCCTCTCCCTCCCTCTCGCTCCCTTCTCCCTTCCTCCCTCCCTCGCTATCTCGCTCGCTCCCTCCCTCCCTCCCTCCCTCCCTCCGTCCTTCTCTCTCCCTTCCTCCTCTCTCCTTCCTCC